TGAGGAGACGTATTCACGTAGAGAGTTAAGTTCTCTTCCAGTTAATTCGTAAGTGTGCTTGTTGGTTATGTTGAGTTCGCTCAGAATTTGGCGAGCCTTGGCAGGGCCAATTCCATAAATGCTAGTAAGAGAAACTGCCAGACGCTTGTTGTCTGGAATGTTTGTGCCTCCCACATGGATTCCCCGGACCTGTATTCCATACAACTGCAACAATAAAGTGCGAAACAAACAGCTTCAAGTCAATCTTCTATTCTATTATTATGAAGAATCAAACAAGAGTATAACAACCCATCAATTTTCCTGGCAAAATTCGCTGTCATTTCCAATTACATCAAAATCCCAGTTCATAATCTGATTAACATGGTGCGAAGTACAACAGAACAAACCAAATAGCAGAATTCAATGATACACCTAATTGCACTTTTCCTGCAAGCAGGATCTTCTTTTTCCGTTTAGATACTTTTGGGCTGCTTCCATCACTGTCCAACCCCTCACCTGCCCCTAACAGAGTGGACATAAAAGCTCTGGCACTGCCAGCTCCTCATCAGCCTCCTCTGCACCCAAAATAACCCTTGAATTATCCGCTGACCCATATTTTATTGAAGTAACTTTTGTGTAAGCTTTCTTATATTGGTCAAGACAATCGGAGAACCGTCTACCAGTTGCACGCATATAGGGGCGTAAGAGGAACAAAGGAGAAGAACAGCATTATGGGGGAACTCCAGACAAACAGAGCATATTGCATCTTTCCAATCTTTCATCTCCCGAGCTTTGGAGCATTTCCCCTTCTTGTGACCTTCCTTAACAGCTCTTTTGATGCGAGAGGATAATGGATAAGGATTTGACCTCAGACACTGTGAATTAGACTTCCGCACCTTGCCAGTTTTGGCCATTTGCAAACCATACCTAAACCAAGAGGTGGCAGAGAGGCAATATAAATCAAGTAAGAACAACAAAGTAAAATTTCAGTTAACAGAGAAAGAAGAGCAAACAAAGACATTATTATAGAAGTAGTATTAACATTGTTTGGGCAGCTTCGCAGTCCAACACTGTTGAAATTCTCAGCTGCTTCTACACCTGTAAATCCCGAGGATGTTTCCTTGGGGAAGACACTCCGACGCTCAAGTCAGCAATACTCAATACTCTAAAGAAAGAGGCTCTCAAGGAGTAATTGCAGAAAGAGAAGCGTAGAAATTAATTACCTTCATTGTTGGTAGTTGGGAGTATTTATAACCCCAAATGCTGACATGCATCAACACATGTAGGTAACTCATTTGCCCACGTTTCACTGCCCACGCGAGCATGTCCCATCATTTTGGGCCAGTGGATGTGCGGTTGGGCCTGTATCATGCGGCCCGACATGGTTATTGGGCCTAATCCCAACATTACTCCCCCCTCGGTGTTCGGTTGATGAACTGGGTTTGACATTGGTGATGAGGGGTAATGTTTTATAATTCGCGACCGACCTCACACATGGCCAGCCTGAGCGGTGTGAAGACCTAGCGTCTGTCTGGATGTGCAAATGTATACCGGCTTTTTGTCGAGCAGGTGGGAGGGGCTGGTGTTAAATCAGTTGAGCTCGACGCTAATCAGCGAGACGAGCAGGCGCGTGAGGGCGACCTTGTATAATGCATTCTCTACAATGAAGCAGAGGCGAGCAGATGACGAACGAGCTGAACGAACCGAACCTAGGTAGGCCGAGATGAGCGACCTCACCCGTGAGGAAGTTGTTTACAATCTGACGTTTGATGTTCAAAACCAAGGTGAACCTGAGATTTGCTACGACTTGGCCTTTAGAGACGTCGAGGTGGGAAGCTCTGAAGAGATCTCAGATTAGATACGAGCTGATTCCTCGAGATCTTCAAATTTTTAATTATGGCGAATCTCTGAGGAGATTTGCTTAAGTCTCGAATTTGTTACGAGCTGATCATTGAAGTTTGTCGCGATTTGATCCTTCGGATTTTTCAACAATTGTGGCGAATCTCTGAGGAGATTTGCTCGGGGCATTTGGTATTCTTCCGCTTTTAACAGATACCTCTTTGCCTCCCCGCAATAAATGCTGGCTCAGCATTTGAGGAGACGTGATAGCTGCAGACGGCGCATTTTGGGCTTTTAACCCCAAATGGCTGCCACGTGGATGCACTTAACTAGGGGGCCGTTGACACGCGTACGGAGATTACAGAGCACTAGCTGAAGGAGAAAAACAAAAGGAAGTTTCTGTTTCATTACTCAGTACGTTAGCATTTTCATCAGCAACAGTTGCAGAGACGCTCCAGAGCATTCCTCAGAATTTTCAGTGACAGGACATCCGACTCCCATTATTCAGGTAAAAATGGCTTCTTCACACAATGCACAAGGATTCCGGGGTAACCAAGGTGAAGACGAGGAAGTAGGCGTGATATCCGTGGAGCCTATCACCATGATAGTGCCGCCGGAGTTACAAGACTCGCCTAGACCTGCCACGCTTGAGAATAGCACCAGTTCGAGCACGAGTAGTGGCTCTGAAGACCATCGGCCCTCAACTTCTAGCGATTCGCCTGTGGAAGGGACATCCGGCGAAGTAAGGGGTGTTGAAGAGGTTGGGTGTAGTGCGTCGGTGATGAGTACAGCAACTGAGGTAGTTTTGTTTGAACGGTGGGAGAGCCAGGCTCTCAGTGGGTGACTAGACAATCTCCGTAAAGCTCCCAAAACCCTACCGGCCGGATTTAGATTCAGGGCGGCTTTGCACCACAAAGTTGCAGATGGGGCGGCCACGGTGAAAGGGTATAAGAAGCTAGAGCAATGGTGAGGCGATTCCAGATCCTCAGAACCATCCTGATCCGAGTTGGGACACCAAATGACAGGGCGTGCTCAGTATCACGGACGGGCTGGGTGCCAGTATACGTAGACCATTTTGACGCCGGTCTGCGTTTTCCTCTACCCGGACTAATTTTTGATGTCCTGGCAAAGTACGAGCTGGCCCTTTCGCAGCTTACTCCCAACAGCATAAAGTTTAGGTTATATCCCCGATTCAATCCCTCAACTTTCATTTTTGAACTAAAACTACCCTTGAACTTCAAAAAGTACTAAAAAAATCCTTGAACTTCAATTTTTGGGACCAATTTCGTCCTTCCGTCGACGGAAATGACAGATGGCACGTTAAGTTGCCACAAAATCAATTCTTGTTTGAAAACTTTAATTACGTGGAAAATAACTAGTCCACATCATCCCTCATTACTCCAATCATCCCTCATTACTCGGGTCATCCCTCCGGTCATCCCTCATTGCTCCGATCATCTATTACCACTCCAATCACCATCTACTTCTTCCTCAAACCTCCTCCCTAATAGAACTCAATAAATTTGATTCAAAAAATCAATTCCTCTACAAATGTATACCAGATTTGCAAAGAAAAATGGAAAAAACATCACATTCCTTCAATCAACATCGACAGTAACTAGATCTGAAAATTCAAGCAATCAGAAACCACACCAAACTCTAAATCCCATTTAAGCATGACTACAAGCCAACAAATAAACAGAACAAAAAAACCCAGGCGTCCTGGGTTCCATCGAACCCAGGCGTCCTGGGTTCGAACGAACCCAAACGTCCTGGGTTCCATCGAACCTAAGCGTGCTGGGTTCGAATGAACCCAGGCGTGCTGGGTTCGAACGAACCCAAACGTCCTGGGTTCCATCG